CTTCCTGTTACTGCTAGGAAAAGGACTTTCAGATTTTGGGAAAGGCCTGAAACCCTCTGAAGCGGCACACTATACAAAACCCACGTGTGTGGGGAGGATGCCCAGATCGGGGCGGGTGGAAGAAAACCCCTTTTTCCTCCCACCTTCCTAAAACAGCCCTCCACACACCTCTCATGTCACTAGGCTGAATTCAGCCATGCGCATGGAGCAGAACTTGTCCCGTTGCAGCTGCAGCAAACCTGGGAAAGCCCACGCAGCTTAACCCATGTGGGCAGCAGGGCTGCAAACAGACCCTGAGCTGCCCCAAAGTGCCATCGTATCCCCTGACCACAGCTCTCCCCTGGGGACATTTCCACCCTGGGGGATGCCTGCTTGCTCCGTGCAATCAGTAGAGTCCTGCCATGCCCCAAAACTTTGCCTGGACATCTCTGCTTTCCTCATTGCTGCAGATTTATTGGTGCTGTTGGACAAATCAGGCCAAGCAGAGCTCGCCCCCTCGTGGGGTGCAGCCAGGAGATGCCTGGGCCCCCCACAGCCAGAGGGACTGCGTGCCCCTGGGGCGCAGGCTGGGCTGTGCCTCTACCCTCCTTCCTCCAGAAAAGCAGGAGCCCCAGTACCACCTCAGCCAGCAGAAGTGCTTTTTCACCCCACCCCAGCAATGCTGGCCTGGCAAAACCTCCTCCTAGCAGCCCCGGGACGGTCTCCGGGACAGCCAGCCCAGCCTTTCCCTCAGCCAAGTGTCTCCAAAATCCAGGAGCAAGGGGTTCCCACAAGCTTCAGAGTCAGACTTCACCCCAAGAGTTTTAAAACAGCCAGCCCTCCAGCCAGCAGAGAGTCTTCTGTGGTTTAAAAAAAAGTAAAATTCAAATAAAGGCTGCTGGGCAATCCCCTACTTTAACACTCACACTTCCAAACCCATAGCTTTACATTGCCCAATAAGCTCAGAGGCAAGGCAAAGCAAGCCAGTTTTTGGTTGGGTGTTTTTTGCAAGGAGAAAGGGGCAGTGAATGCACCTAATACCTCCCTATAATTAGAGACAGTTCTTTATCCCTAATGCCATTGCCAGAGCACCTATATCCAATTTAGAAACACTCAAGTATTGCCCAGCTTCATTAAATTATCCATCTGGCCCTCCCCTGCTCATTTCCCTACTATTTTTCCACTTTGATGAGCCCAGCTGGGTCAAACTGTGACCAGTTACTCCTGAGCAGGGATCAGCCATCCCTCCATCCCTCCCCCAAGGAATCTGGTGTGCCAAGGGGTCCAAAGACTCTCTGCATATCAGTTTTCCCAGACAACCTCCTTCCAACCATGGGTATACTTAGCAACAGCAGTCATCCTAGCAAGGACCCTCGAGACTCCTCTGAGGATCTGGAGAATTCGAGACAGCCGGGGATAGACATGGCAAAGAAAAGCCCAGAGCTTGCTAGCGCGGCAGAGCCTCTCCCCACATGGTGACCATACATGGGCTGCCAAGGGCTCCCTGCAGCTCACGGGGTGGGAAGTCCCAGAAGGGTGAGTTTGGGAGAAGCCAGTCTCTCATCTCAGACCCCATAGACAAGAGAAACCTGCCTCATGAGCCCTGCTGCCACTCAGGTGCAAATATCCTGCAAAGGACAGCCCAAGCCACAGGGATGTGTGCAGCCACAGGGATGTGTGCAGCCACAGGGATGTGTGCAGCCACAGGTGATGCAACTAAGGTCAGGGACTACCTGAAGCCTCCAGAGCTTTATAAAGAGTGCTCTGAGTAACACACCCAATACATATTGGGTTCTCTAGCCCTGGTGTGAGGCAGGCTTCCCCTACACCTTGGGTTCCAAACCTCCCACCATCAAGGCAGGAGGTCTGGCTCCTTCATCCTGCACCATGTTGTCCCATTAGGGCAGGACAACCCAAGCAACTGCCTCCCCAGAACCCCCCCAGTTTCTCCCTTCTTTTGGGAAGGCTTCCCATCAGGCTCACACCACAGTGGTTTCCTTTATAGCAATTCCAGTTCACGGAAAAGAGCATAGCACCAGTTTGGTTTAGGTGGCAGTACACTGGTGTCAGCAAGACTTTGACAACATGTCCCCATTCATATGGGGAAACAGAGTAAACTGTGTCCAAATTAGGATTTCTAGGACATTTTCTAATGCAAGCTTCTCTTCTATATGCACTGGGCACAGTTAAATACACAAGGTTCATTGTATAAGCAAACCCACCCCGTATATTGTCACTGTGCATTTACACCAGAGAACCTTCAGATTTACTCTCCTGGCAGCTCCACCACAAATCTCACTGCTCACCCCTCCAGCACGCTTTAAGCTGTCTTAGGAGCATTGTCCTGACTACATCCATATACCGGTCAGCTTGAAAAGAGCTTTGTCCTCAAGGAGAGAAGATCAGAGAACTAAGCTAGCTTCAGGATGAGAAAAAGTTGCCCCAAACAGCAAGTCAATACTTACTTCCTCCATTTTGGGAGTGGAAATCACTGAAGCCTAGCAAGTGTTTATGTAGCACAAGCTAAAGCAGGAGAAGTTTTGAGCTGCACATGAAACTATTACACAAATTATGAGGGAAAGTAATTCTCCATATTTTAAAAACAAAAAAAGGAGTTATTTTTGCTTGTTACTTTAGTTTCATATTTCATTAAAATTCTAAGTTGCAGCTAGAGAGGAAGGGATGTGCCACCCTGCCGTCAGTATTCACAGACACAGTTTTTAAACATGTTTCTAAAGGCTGTAAGAGTGGGAGTGCTACAGAACAGACCCCTCCAGACAGCCTCTTATTTAGCTGAAACTCCGGCAGGAAGCAGCGAAGGGAAGGAACAAGCTGGCCCTGCCTCAGCAGCAGCCCTCACCGCTGGCCCTGCCTGCGCCGACATACCGGCGTCTGCTACAGCAAGAGGGGACCTGGAAGTCTCAAGCGGCTTGGGCCACCCCCAGCATCTCCTCCTTGCTCCTGCAAGGTGAGCTGAGCCTGTGACAGAGGCACAGCCAGGAGGGAACAATGCTGGGAATCCCATGCTGAGAAACCCCCACGCTCCCCCAGCAGCCAAGGCTTCCCCTTTGTTTCAGCAGAGAGTCATGCATGGAGCCTTCCAGTACCTTTTGAAGCTTCCAGTCAAGTCTTCAGCCAAGGCTAATTGCTGTCAGGTGTCAGCCAAAACACTTACTGCAACCATTAGTGGCAGGAGACGACACACCTTTCTCCTCTCATTGTCACTCAAGGGGGCTTTTTTCCTATCGACATTAACAGCTCTGGCTTTCAGAAGCCTTGGGGAGAAATGCTAATGCAAGCTTTGAAGCTGGAGGCGAAAAATCAGGCAACCCCCCAAGCTCCCTGGATGCTCAGCCTGAATCCAGTCCATATCTGAGTACTTCTGGGTAATACACCTCGGCTGAGGTTATCTCTGTCTGCCTTGACCACAGATAGATGTGGTCTCTGCTACTGATCTGTCTGTTAACCCCCATGGAAAGCCGTCTGCGTTGGAGTGAACAGACCCCACATTTTACAGTCTCTACTGGTAAAGCAACAAAGCAGAGCAGAGGCACAGGGAGATGCCTAACCTTACAGCAACCAGCCTGAAACATTGCCAGGTTAATATGGTTAGAGACATAGGGGACACGCAAGAAACCAGGTGTGCTCAGTAGTTGCTGCAAGGAGAGGAGGCAGCTGATTTCCACCCACTGGTCTTAAAGATGCGGCTGATTGCAGCTGTGGAGCAGGTCCAGGTCGCCAGACCCCTCACTGAACTTTGCTGCTGAAGATGTGGTTCCCCGCTTGATCAACTCCCTCCCTTGAAGTTTAAAGGAGAGGAGACCTTTAGGAAGTCTAAGTCTCTCCATTGCTGGAGCAGCTTGTCAAAAGCCTGCCAGAGCATCTGACCCATTTCAGCCTCATGGGTCATCATCATTTTGGCTGCGCATCCTCCTTTCCCACCATCACCCCCTCTGTTTCCCAGCCTCCCAGTTTCCCAGGACTGGAAGGCAGCTGTAGTGTTGGGGTACGGGGTCCCCGGGCCTCACCTCTCGCTCTCCTCAGGGGATTCATCTCCCATTTGGTTCACTCCTTCGGCGCCCTTCTGGCACCCCTCTGAGTCTGACATCTCCCCGGCTGGCGCGGTGGCCCTGCAGACAGCACAAGGGTGCCGTCGCTGTTTCGCTTTTCCTGCGCTCAGCAGAAGTGAGCTGTGCCGGAAACTTCATGGGCTGAGGCTTGGGGGGGATGGGAGAGGGGCAGGGGGAAGGCAAATTTGGGGTTTTTTTGTTGTTGGGTTTTTTTTTTTAAAAAAACCGTTGGGACTATTTTAAGGTTTTGCCTTCTGCCAGCAGCTCAAAATCAGGAAGCGCTGGGCTAACCCACAGGGAAAACGGGGCGCATGGACATCCCCTTCATGGCAGCAGCATCTCTAAATTGCAGCACCCTACAGCGCACCGGTACCAGGGTGCTGCCGCCCGAGCTGCCGAGGCTGTCCTGATTTCACACCTCTCAAAGTCCACTGGAGGTAAAGGGTCTGCTTCTGCCCTGCAGCCGTCACTCCTCACCTCCCTTCCCAGCTCTGCTCCTTCCCCACGGCTTCCTGCTGTTGCCACCGTGGGTGGAAGTTCTGCAGCCCCTCCTGGGGCTTGCACTCTTACCTCCTTGTCTCTTCACTACTGGTGAAGGACGTGGTCAGGAGCTGGTGGTACAGCCCGGCGGGAGGATGCCAGCACAGCATGGTGGGACAGCCTCACCCTCTCCTCCCTGCAAGGAGGGCAATGAGCATCCCCAGCTTCAGAGGGCGAACAATAACAGAGAAGTCCCCCATTCCCACGGCATGGCCCCCACCAAAGCCTCCCCATCCTCACCAGTACTCCCACAGCAGGGGCAGACCCTGCTGGCACCATGGGATGGGTCAGGCAACATCCAGCTCTCCCACCAAAGCTTTATTTACACCGCTGCTGCCAGGACACAGCTCTTCGCAAAACCAGAGAGAAAAGGCACCCGGTCAGTGCCCTTCAGCCCGGGGGAGGGGTGGCGGGGACAGGAGGGAGCGGAGGAGAGGTGTGGAGAGGTGGGTGCTTAGGACTCGCCAGCCTCGAACATCTTCTTCCTGCCCTCCATGCCAGACTTCTCCTCGATGTTCTTCCTCCAGTCACCAACATCACGGAGGTCCTTCTCCTGGGGGAGGGATGGGTGCGTGGGTGTGAGCAGTGCCCCCCAGGGTGAGAACCCACTCAGGCAGGGCTCTTCACCGGTCCACCCACGGAAAACCCTGTGACAACTAGAGGAACCCAATTCCACCCATGCTGTACATCTTTTGGGGCTGTGCTATCATGGGTGCCAGAGGAGAAAACATCGAGCAGGAAGAACATTATGGAGAAAGGCTCACGCTCAACCCTGTCTATAACACAGGGAGGCACGAGCTCCGAAGAATGGGGGCACAGGGGAGAGGGAAGGAATACCTTCTCAGTGTCCTCCTTCTTGACTTGCTTCAGATTGGCTCGGAGGTCCATGCAGACCTTGTGCTTGGAGCCCAGCAGGGCCCGCAGCATCGCATCAGCGGACATGCGCACCCTGCGCAGAGGCGGCCTCTTGAACTTGCCCCGCAGATCAAAGAGCTTCTGGCTCAAGTCTTCCAGCTGCGGGGGGACGGGATGAAATGAGGTGGGGCAGAGAGAGAGCAGGGTGTGGGTTTCCTGAGGTGGACCCAAGCGGCATGGGGAGGCACAAAGGATGGGCTGGAGACTCCCCTGAAGGACGGCTCTGGAGGAAACTCACCTCCTTGTTAGTCTTCTGTAGCTTCACCTCTGTGTCATACCTCTCCTCATCCACTGACTCTATCTTGGCATGAAGCTTTTTGCACAGGTCCTGGGAGGAAAAGCAGAGAGGGATGTTGACTGCTAGGACCCACACATGTGATTCCTCTCTCCTGACTGCTCTGGCTCTGAAAGACCTCAGTCCAGAAGACCAGATGAAGTTAAAACCAGATGGCAAAGGGTGGCTTGCAGGCCAGCTCATGGTCTCCGTGCTACTGGCTTCATGCAAATACTGCCTCGACACATTGCTAGAAATGCAGCTTTCCTGCCAGCCAGACCTTTTTTTTTTTTTTTTTTATTGAGAGATCCCAGCTGCCTCTCAAGCTAGTTCCACATCCAGCCAGCTCCAGGGCACCCACAGGTACGAAGGGAGTCAATATATGAAGGCCAGTCTAGATCCACTGGGCTGACTGATGGAGTCAAATCCTTTCTGCCCCAGCACAGTGAAAGGGTTGAAGTACTTACCTGGAGTTCCTGCATGGATCCTGGGAGCGACAGAGGAGGACAATGCTCTGCCAGATAGTTTTGCTTTTCCACTTCTTTAGCAGCTGCTTCTTTTTCTATTTCAGTGGCAGCAAGCTGGAGCATAGCACTCTGGAAGGCAGCAGGAGGATGGTCAGCACGGGGTGGCGGCAAGCGTGGGGGGCAGGGAGGGGTCAGCAAGGGAGGGAGAGCCCTGATGGAGCAGCAGTTTGGGGAGCTCCCCATCAACACTAGCATCTCCAAGCAAGGGATACTGGTGGGGACCCAATGGCCTTTTCCAGGAGGGAGAGTATTGAGAGCTGGCTGGCTCAGGGTGGGAGGTAGGATGGTCAAGACACACCTCGCCCGGCCCCAGCAGTGTCACATACCTTGAGGTGCTGCCGACGGGCAGTGGCTGCCCTCCTTTTTTTCTGCAAGTGAGAGGAACAAGAGAAAAGCAAGTTATTTGGTGCCTACTCCCCTTTCTGTTCCACTGCCCCGTGCAACCCCACAGTCCAACAAGGCCCTGCAGTCCTGCTAGGGATCTGGCTCTAGCCAGGATGGACGGCTTGACACACAATTTGTCCCCAAACCAGTGGCACTCAAAGAAAAGGCTCCCTGCCGAACCCAGCTTTGCCAACCTCAGGTCGCTACAACCTACCAAGTGCCTCAGGAAAAGATAATGGGGGTGACAAACTTGAAGGTACGCATATAAAATATAACTTTGAACTTGGCTTCTTAGGACTTAGAGCCTTTTCTCCAATTTCCTCTTCACTCAGACATGTGTTTTGCTTTGCACTCAAGCTACCGGCCCCTGATGCCCCTGAGCACTCGGCAGCCGTGGGATGTCTTTCTGAGTGGCCCATGGCACGCCTGGCAAGAAGGACATGGCGATAACATGAAGGCCCCGTTATTTCTTGGAGCTGAAAAGACCCAGTGCAGATGACACTGCAGAGGGTTCATCACAGTTGGGTCTGCAGGCCTGGAGGCTGCTCTGGCCAGGAGAGGTGGAGGGTCACAAGGCTGTGGCTGCAAGATGCAAGCCAGCTCCCTCTTTCCTGGCATGCCAGGTGAGCAATAATTTGGGGAGCCTGGAAGACCCAGCCTGCTCTTCTGTACCTATGGTGTGCTGGAACAGCAGCAACAAGTCTCCTATTTATAAAAGAAGCCACAACGCTGATGTGCTGCTGCGTTGTAGCTGTTTCCTCAGCATTTCGCCCAGAAGACCAAGCAAGGCTGAGTGTGGCTGGCGCGGGGGAAATGGACCCTGCCATCTGATATGCTGTGGTGGGGGAGTAGAAAGCAACATTTGGGTGTGAGTCTGTGCTGCGTAGGGGAGGAAGTGGATAAGGATCTGCAGAGCTAAATGTAAGAAAATCTGACATGTTTTGCATATGCAAATGGTGCTAAGGCCCTCCTGACAGGGCTGGAGAGCTCTGCAGAGAAAAGGCATCCAGCTCAGGGATGCAGCGCACCATTTACTGGCAGGATTTTGCTTGTATAATCCAGGCATGGGCCACCACATAGCAGATCCCTTGAGCACTGTTAGCCCAGGGCTTATTCTCCGTCTGAAAATCTGTACCTCAGCAAAGAGTGCCCTCCCGGCCGTTTCTGTGGGTACTAGTTTTGATGGAGAATAAAAGAACCTGTTGGACATCAGCACCGTGTTGTGGAGTTTCTATGTGTCCCTGAAACGCTCTCTTCTCTCAGTGAGGACAAGCTTGAGCTTGTGGCATTTTGGACACATGGGAGATGCCAAGCAGAGATGAAGGACGGAGCAACTTGCTAAGAGAAGTGACAAAGACAGACACAACCCTCCCACACCTTCCCCTGCGTTTCCACAGCCATCCTCAGGCTTCAAGCTCAGCCCTGCTCCGGCTCTACCAGAAGGCAGGGAGAACTTGCAAGGATGCAATCTTCACCCTGCTCACACTCCCTTGGATCCAGGTCTCCCTGGATTGCCTTTGAGAAGCAATTTGGCAGTGCTCGGTGAGCAGAAAACGAGGGGCTAGGTGTGGGTAAGGATGCTAGGCCAAGGGCTGGGTGATGGGTGGGTGATGGAGGAGAGGTGGCTCTGGACCACCACCTTCCCAGCACCATCTCGTGGCTGGTTGGGGAAGCAGGAAAGGAGGGAAAAAACATCTAACTCCAAGCCAGGAGGCAGAAAAGACCTTCAAAAGGGATTTTTCTTCTCCTTCCCATCTTTACCAGGAGGAGTCAGCAAGAAAGCCTTGCCATGAACCATTCTTTCCCCCACACACCCAGCAGCTGCTTTTCCTAAGGAGTAACGGCGAAGCCAGGATGGATGCCATGATCATCTCTAAAGGAAAAAACCCAGCGAGACATACTTACCTCATCACTGTTCAGGAAGAGCAGATGGACAAGGAAAGGAAAGAAGAGAAAGGGGAAAGGGGAGAAAAAGGCAGTTAGTATCCTAATTGGAAAAAAGCAGAAGAATCTTAACAAGCATAAAACTTTGGCAGTTGAACAAAAGTTTTTAAATACCAACATATTAGAGACAGAAAAATGGGAACTTACTCAGACATCTTGCTTTAGATGGTTGTGACCCTGCAATGAAAACCAAGAAAAAAGGTTCACAGTTATTCATACTGGTGGTGACTTTCTTGGGTTTAAAACCAAAACAAGATTCCTCTACCAAAAAAAAAAAAAAAAAAAAAGAGGAACAGGTTTGCTCTTATTTCCCAACTTCTCCAAATTTTCATCACATAAGGAACTAGGCTACAGTTTGTGGACAAGAGAAACATGTGCCTACTCAGAGCCATACAAACCTCAGCATTGGGGGACTTCTGGACCAGACCAAATGGTGCTGGGCCGGAAAAAGAGAGACTTGTGAAAGTCATTCCTGCAGGTGTGTCTCTCGTTTGACCCCTAGGAAACCATTTTATGCAATGAAGGAAGAAGAGGGAAACGCTATTTTTAGTTTACTGCTTCACTTTGCTTTGCAGTTTTGCCCCACCTCACGAACAAGAAATATCCCAAAGCCTGCAGAGGGTTGGCAGTGACCCCAGGCGACGAGGAACGACTTCAGAGGGTGCTGCTGCCAGTATACGCACCCATTGTGTGGGGCAGGGGAGCCTCGTGCAACAACCTCAGCACAGATGATGTAGTTGAAAAGCTGTTGTCGAGTTGGTAAAGGCACAAAGAGTTTCCTCAGGCAATTCCTTGCATTTCCTTTAAGCGGAAATTTTACAAGTACAACACAGCATATTAGGGAAGAGATGGAAGAGCACCTTTGTTTTGCTGTAAATTATTTCCCTGTAAACAGAATTTTACTTTTCTAGCAGAGCAATATCTTGTGCTTGTATCTCCTAATGGAAGGATGCAGGAGAGTTGGCCAAGCCCAAACTAAACTAGTCCTTTGCAGAGCAGGCAAGCCCCCAAAACACAGCCATCTGCAGACCTGGGAGACTCCGTCGGGAGGTGAAGTGTTAATGGGGGCTCATGCCCGAGGGAGAAGGCACAGCTTGCAAGGCCAAGGAAACTTTATCCTGGAAAATGTGCGGGCCCATCACATTACTTTAGGGAGGAGGGGGGAAAAGTGCTTCTAAAAATGGTCGGGGAGCTGCAGAAGGAGCTGCAGCTGTCTCCTCGGACGGCAGCCTTTCCCCGGTGCCAGCCCCCGTGACTCAGGGAGGTCGGAGCGATGCGAAGCAAAAGCCACCGCAGGTGGCTGGGCTACAGCTGAGGGACAGGGCGGCCGAGGAACGCCAGCTATTTTTACTTACATCCCTGCCCCGTGCGCGCACCCACGTCGGTGGCAGCGATGCCGAGGAATCAAGAGGACAACGCCAGGCTGCAGCTTGCTGCCTGCAACGTGGGCTTTAAATCACCTGTTCTGGGTGAGGGGAGGGGGGCACAGTAAATTTGGATGTCGGTCCCTGTCCGAGGGTGTTTTTGGGAAGGAAGGCACCGCAAGGACCGGGTTGGGAGCTGGAGGAAGGGGCGTAAGGAAGGAGCATTGCCGAGTTACTGCAGGCAACGATCACGCGTCCTACGGCCCTGGGGAGGGCAGCGTTAGGGAGCCTGCAGCTCTGCTTGCCCTCTCTGCTAAAGCCAAAGAGCAGAACCAACCAAGGGAGGGGAAGGCATGAAACCAAAGAGAAAGAAGGTCACTGGAAGAGACAGAGGGACTTTCCAATGCACAGACCCTCTCCAACAGGCAAAGGACGGAGAAGGTTTTATTAGCACCCCTCGTTTCTGCCAGCAGGCCACCCGCACCTGGTATTTATCTCCCTAAAAAACGCAGGTGAGTGAATCTGCTCCCCCGTCACCCCGTAAGAGCAAGCTGGCTCATTAAGAGACATGCAAAATGGCTCACCCAAATCTGGAGGAGAAAATCAGAGTGTCCCGCTGGCTGGACAGGATGGACTGGCGAGCTGCAGGCAGCTGGCTGAGTAAGGAGGTATAAAAGGGCTTCTCGGGTGGCTCAGCAGAAAATCCACCTTCTCTTTAAGGGCATGGAGACCTTCTCAGACCAATGATGTACGAGTCCCCTGTGCACCTCCCTTGGCTGGGGCAGGCCAGGCAGGCAGCCCCAGAGGAGAGGGCAGCCACCGGGGACGAAGGGGTGGGGAGGGGGAGGGCATCTTCTACCCGTGGGGTGGGCAAGCGGAGCCACCCCAGAGGAGCTGGGGAGGTGCTTTTCCTCAGGAGAGGGGAGGAGGGAGCCTTCCTCTCCCTCTTCCTCCCACCAACCAGCCACACTAGATATGGCTTCAAGTTTTTGGGGAGCCCATGCTCCCTGCACACAGCCACTCATCTGCAAGGCCTCTAATAAAATTTCCTGTTGAAGACACAGAGTGGCTTATCCATGGACAAGGGCATGGCTCTGTTCTCCTCCAAGGGCTTGAGAGCAGCTCTGACCTTCAGAAATGAAGAGGGGAAAGAGCTTGCACCCCACAATCCATGGCCAAAAGCATGTGCAAGAGCACTCCTTGAGCAAGCCATCCATCACTAGCATGGTCTTTTAACCTCTCTTACCACATGGGAAACATTTGCTCCTCCCCATGTGAAATATTTCAACACAACTAAGGTTTTTTTAAAAAAACAAACCGGTGGAGCTGCTGCGGGCAGCCCCAAGGCTCACTGCAGCACTGGGGCTGGGGGGAGGCAGCAGAGCATGGGCGAGCAGCCCCACACTACCAGCAAGAAGCAACCCTCACCGTGGGATGACCCAGACCCATATCTCCATGGGTCTGAAGGAGAGGCAGGCAGAAATGTAGCTGGAAACATTCACCAGCCCCGGTCGCAGCATATGTAGCGAGTGTGTGTAGGGGATTCCCATGGAGACAGGAGCCCAAACAGCTCCGGCCCTCCTCCCCCAGCCCAGGCGCTCCCTCCCCTTTCTGCCGGGGCTTTTTAGGCTGATTCAGACATGGCCCTGACAATAGTTTCCAGGCGCCTCTCAGACATTACATAGATAGTGGCAAATCCGCTGCTACAGGCTTCCTGTTTCACCACCTTTAGCATCGTGCAAGTAATGCTGCAGATGCCGGTGAAGGAAGAGCAAGTCCTTGAGACAGGGTTGGTGTCTTGCAGGGGTTTGCTGCCATAGCAGCTGGAGGAGGGAGAAGCCCCTAGTATGGGCAAGGCTGCATCTGCTCAGGATTTCTATCTCTGAAGTGTCAAGAGGTAGATGGCAGTGAACATCTTGGTGTCAATGTATGCTGGTCAATAGATCTGAGTGATGCCTTTGCAAAAAAAAAAAAAAAAACCACCCACAAAAACCCCCAAAAAACAAAAAAGACCCCCCAAAATGACAACACACAAAAAAACCAAACAACAAAACAACTTGTGTCTTTTCCTCTTCAGGGCCACTGCTAAACAACACAGACGCCCTCTCTGTTTAGCTCCATGGCATCTTCCGTGACAGGGAGTGCTTCAGGCTCGTGATGTTGATGCCCCCAGGCTGCAGGGATATCTCCAAACCCACCAGCAGGCCCTGGCGACACTCCTAGATGTTCGGGGGTACCCCACACTCACGAGCTCATAGGCTGCCAGCAGCCTCATGCTGTGCTTGACCATCAGGTACTGAATGATGCAAGCAGGACCTTGTAGCCATCCCTGCAGAGAACGAGGACACACTTCCCTTTCTCCAGTGAGGCTTTAATGCTCTTGATGTTCCAGAAGCAGGGATGCCCCATTTTGTCATGATCCCCATGGAGCACAGCCTGGATGTCGACCTTAAGGCATGACCAGCTGTGCCTGAACCCTCCCCACTGGCAGTGCAGGGGGTGACACTCAGGCTGTGGTCCCTGGGCAGGCTGCTCGTGTCGATGATGCTGTCAATGCTGTCGCACTGTGTGCACTGCACCCACCCGCTGTACGCAGCGTTGAGGTTCCCCAGGTAGATGCAGTTGGTTGTCTGAGCAACGATGGATCCTGGGAAGGGGGAATACGCAGGCTCCCCTGGTTTTGGACTGGTGCCCTTGAGATGTGTTTTTTTCTTCCAGCTCCCCCTGAGGGATTTCTTGGAGCTGGCATGGGGCAGGGGCTGGAATCAGGCTCAGAGCACCATGAGGGTAGCAAGAAGAGGGAGAAGCAGCTGGAGAGCTTGGCCTTAGAAGGGGAGTCCGCTGAGCAAGGCAGGGAGGAGCAGGGGTGGAACTGGATCCGTGGGTGGAACTGGATCCCAAGAAAGGGATGCTTGCACCAGGGACTCCGTGCTGTGGGTTGCCCTCAGCTCTGACTCTTTTCCTGGAAAAAAAAAAAAAAGAAAAAAAAAAAAAAAAAAAAAGGAAGGAACTGGTGAGACTACAGAAATGTGTCTCTCCAGCTGTATGAGCAAGGAGACATGACCTGGTGGCCGGCTTTGCCCACAGCAGCAGTTGGAGACACTAGAGGCCCCGAAGACCTTGCACACAGCCATCTCAAATACTTAGCCATCCTGTTGCCCTGGGACAGGCACAAACGTGCTGTAAAGGCTCACGTGGACCTGCAAACCATTCTGCCAGTCCTGGGGTGCCAGCTTGCTGGAGCGGTTGTCCCCTCCTGCTGATGGTACTGAGCAGTGACCAGTGTGTCCTGCCAGGTTGCAGGGCTACGGACACCACATTCCCACCCTTCTCTTCATGCATTTTACTTTTACTCATCACCAAGTTTGGACGAGACCCTGTAGGAACAGAACAACTCCACATGGACATGCACAAGTACCCACAGGTGCTTTTGATATAAACACCATCCTTGAAGAGAAACAAGGCATTTTATTGATCCCTTCCACTCCAGAGGGACATTCTTCAGTGTGGGCTGCTGGAGGGGTTTGCAACTCATTGCAAGCTGGAGCCAGGAGGAAGGCAGGCGTTTCAAACTGAAAACACAAAGGGGTTAAGAACAGCTGCAGGGAGAGGGAAAATAACAGAAAACCCCTCTGGATTAAGCCCCTTCTGACCACGGTAGCACCTGGGGCTTCAGTCTCCAGCGATGGAGAGGTTGTTTTCATAGCCAAGGTTGGGATCGTTCGGTTCCCAGATCAGTCACAGGCACACACCTCACTCCTCGCAGGAGCTTTTCCCACTTCCACCAAGGACACTTGGACCAGAAGGTGCCTCAGACACTGCCACAGCATGGCCCTTTCTCCACAGCCCCAGGCTGAGTTGGCAGGCCCTCTGGAAAGCCAACACCTCTGCCCAACGCTGGCCCGTGCCCAGGCCTTTGGCAGCTGATGTGTCCAGGAGGTGATCCCTCTGGCATTCCCACCAAGCCTGCCCCTGGATAGTATTACCACAGTGACCTGACACCTGATCACAATCCTCCATGTATCTGTGCGTCCTCAAAGCCTGCTAAAGACGAGGACATGACCCAGAACATGTCTGGAGAACAGGCTGAGACCTCTGTGTGCTCAAATGAGCATGGTTGCAGCATGTCTCTCCTCTCAAAAGGTCTTTGAGGCTCCTGTGCCAAAACGAAGCAGCAGAGAGAACATGGTGTTAGTGCAAAGAAAAAACGTGGCCATAGACCTCAAGAAAAAGAGTGTTAACTCACAAAACTCTTCTGTCCCCAAGGTCAGCAACTGCCCTGCAAACCAGTGGCCACCTAGGGAATGACCATCCAGGAACTATCCATTTCAAGCTCACTGGCTTTTTGCAAGTGCTGTGTGATCCCAGACACCAATTTTATTAAAAAAAAAAAAAAAAAAAAAAGCTGGCAGCTGCAAAGACCCTCAGCAGCCTCACCTACCTGCACAACACAGAGCACCATGGGAGAAGAGCTGCAAGGAGATGGGCCTCTGGAAGGACTTCTGGAGGTGCTTCGCAGTCAGGCCTGAGAAGGGGGGGGGGATGAACTCAGACTTGGAGGGGGCTGAGCCAGGAAAACTCAACACCCAACCCCACCGAGCATCTTTCATGAACAGCCCCAATGCTGCGTAATTCAGTGGGTATCTGAGACATGAATTTTCCCCTATGGAGGCAGACCTGAGTTTAGCACATGCACAAAAGTCAGGGGTGGTGTGGGATGAGTGCAAACAGAGCAGAGAGACCTTCAGAGGAGGCCTTTGCAGATGAGAACATGTCCTTTGTCACATCCAGAGCAAAGCTCCCCAGCAGCTTTTTATAACACCAAGGCCAAGTGTTTTAACTGGACTATCCTAAGTCACACACTTCATGCCAAAATTCAGGCTCCTATGTCTAAACTGCTCTGATCTATGTAAGTTAAGAGAAAAATGCTCTCCATCCAGGGCGAACCCAGTTGCCAACTGGGCAGAAATCTCCACCTGGGCCAGCCACCTTCTTCACAAGCAATGGGCTATCCGCTGCCTCTTCCAAGGGTGTGATTTTTCTCATCCTAAGTGAACAAACAACTGATTCACACCTCAGAGTGCCCATTTCCCACAGAGGGCTTGTTGCCCCTAGATAACTGGCTCAGGCAGGGACATCTGAAATGTCCATGTTTATTAGCAGGCTGATGAAACACTTGTTTGCAAGCCTACCATCTTCCCAGACCCTGCTCACAGGACTTAAAATAAGATCTGGTTTGGGTTGTTTGCAGGTCAAGGCCTCGTTTCAGCTCAGTGGAACTCCTATTCCTAATTGACTTCGTGCTTGTTTCTGCTCAAATTGAACTTCAATAAGTGCCTGCAGGCCTTTCATCACCACTGTGGGAAGTTAGCAAGGGCGGTTGAGAAATCCCTATCTTGTTGATGTGCAACAGGTCATCACTGATGGGTACCCACTCACCCGTAACGCTGATCTTCTTCGGGGTGGCATTTTCTTTGCCCGGCAGCATGAAAGCTGTGACATCCTTGTGCTGCTTCTCCCCTGGCTCCATCCTGCCAAGACCTGAAATATGGAGAAATGGGAGGTTTAGGTTTCTTAGGTCTGCCCTCAAAGTTCAAATGGAAGGAGACGTCGGGGAGCAT